CATTGGATGATCAGGTCGGGGCCGGTGAAGCACTTCCGTTGACCGGTCCACCTCGTCCTTGGATTCAACAGTACGGCCCAACTCCCGATTGCATGGCTTGCAATGCATCCAGTAGACATGGTCGTAAACACTCTGCTGCTTGCTGTAGACGTTACAGGGACTGGGTAGAGTCAGAACGTCGTCGATTGAGTGAGTCATCCAAAGGTCAAGAGGGTTCATCATCAGGTCATCAGGTAGGTTCAGAAGTCCTTCCAAAGCCAGATCATCCCACCGGACACATTCGATACTCCGAGAAGAAGCCTCCCGTCTCAGGTGGCAGGGAACCCGCTCCTGAGATGTCTGATGGTCGGCTTCCGGACGCGCCGAATGCTGATGTTCGTTGGGATCCCCCCTCCATGGAACGGCCTGAGAGTTGCTTCAAAGGCTTGGTTGAACACATGTTCAAGGATCCTCAGGGACAATGCAGGTCTCTTGAAGTGTCCAAGTGAACAAACGATCCTTGCAGGAGTGACGAAGAAGTCAAACAGTCCTTCGATAGTGTTGGTATACGTTGACGACCTTCTGGTAGGATCTTTGTCACCTCGTGGGATTCAGGACATTCGTGGAGCACTTGAAGGGTCCTTGAAAGTCAAGACAACAGGCATGATCACCAGTGCAAGTAAGGAAGGGGCCGAATCGCGTTCCTTGGAAGGGAGACCATTCGACCAAATCAGTCTGATCGTCTTTAGGTTCGTGTACCGCCCAACTATCTGGAAGAGTTGTTTGTTGATGACCCCTTTTGTCAGCACTTGAAAGGAACCCCTGTTCCCCCAGACCTTCTTCAGATTCTTGAGAAAGCTCATCGCAGACCAGAAACGACCACAGTCTTGTCTGAAGAAGCTGCAAGTAGGTACAAACGGATTGTCGGAAAGCTTGCATGGTTGAGCCAAACACGTCCAGATCATGCCAGGTTTATTTCCCTGTTAGCCTCCCTGTTAGCCACCGGACAAAGTGATCCAACGCGTGTCCATGAGAACACGCAGAAGGTATTTGAGGTTTGTTCGAAGCACTGCGCATTTGTTTCATCAATTCCCCGCAAAGAACATGCACATCGACTACTATGATGGTTTGATTGGAATCTCTGACGCTTCATGGGGAAGTAGCGATGTTGAGAAACGAAGATCTGTCAGCGGTGGCCTCATCATTTGGCGAGGGTGTGTCGCGAAGGGCTTCAGCCGATTGCAAGGATGTGTGACACTGACTTCGTGTGAAGCGGAAGTCGTGGCGGTGTGTCAAGTTGCACAAGAATGCATTGGGGTTGAGACACTTAGTGGAATACCTCGACTCATTCGCCGACACGACAGAGCTTCACAAGTTTCAGCAAGAAGGCTTGGCTGCTATGCAGTTTGATGAGATCGGAAGTTCAGGTGTTCGTGAATACTTTCCAGTTCTTTTGTACTCAGATTCTCAATCATGCATAGCTGTCTTGCAGAACCAAGGGCTGTCACGTCGTGTCCGACACATCTTGCTAGCCACCTGTTATGCTCAATCTTTGGTAGGGAACGGACATATGGTTTTGGGATGGATTTCAGGCAAATTCTGTAGTGCAGATCTCCTCACCAAGGTCTTGGATCGTGATTTGACAGAATTTCACAGAGAACAGGTTGGCATCTGCGAGATCACTGCACCAGAAACCTGGCAGACCACATGCGGGAAAGAGTTGAAGAAACGATCCAAACAAACGAAAGACGAAAAGGTACCTGAAGAAGATGTTGCTGCCGTACAGCATGATCTCGAGAATGAAAAGGTGATGTTGCCAGAAGAACCATTGTCAACTTTTCCGTATGCCGCAATCGCATCGGTTGGCAGTGGTGAGACCGAGTTTGATTTGAAGCTGCTGAAGATTTTGTCCGACATAGCTGACGGAAAGGTCTCGCATGTGATCGTTGAACTTTGCACTTCGAACGAAGGCAGGTTTTCACAGGTGATTCGAAAAGATTCATATGGATCCTTGCGGATTGTGCCAGTCACCGAGGACGACAATTTGAACGTTGTTCATTTGAAGTTGTGTGATTGGATCGACAAGGTCCTCCGAGACTTTCCAAAGGTCATGCTGATGTGTTGGGCTTCGCCTCCGTGTACAGGCGGTTCGCCAGTGATCAACCTGATCCCAGAACCTCGCAGGTCAGAAATTCGAGAGCAGCGCATGGCAGAGTTTGCTTTGTTGATCGAAAGCTCAAGAGGTATCATGATGCGTTGTCACGTTCGATGCCTAGAACTTGCAAAGCCATGTATGTATTGGAAGGATTCCCTGGTTCAGACGTACTGCCATGAGGGAGATTTGAAGCACGTCACCATCATCCAGCGCTGCGCATACATTCAGAGCGAAGAGGCCCAAGCAAAACACGAGTTCAAAGTTGCTAGCAATTGCACGCTGTTTGATCCCAAGAGCTGTCAATGCAATACCCATTTGCCCTTGAACAGCCAGAGTCTTCATGCACTAGGAGTATATCCATTGAAGCTAGTTCAGAAATTGGCCTCTTGGTTCCTCCGAATGCAGTCTCTCCCAGAGTGAAGGCTAAAGGGGTGTGAAGTTAGAATTCGATAGATTCTCGAGATGAATGAATAGCATAAGCATACATAATTCCATAAACTTGGATACAATTTGTTCTTGCGTGACGAAAGTCATTTGAATGAACTTTCAAGTCCTTTTGTAACCACTTGACTAGTATCTTGCCATGTCATCTTCGAAGCCGCGAATCCGCGAATCACTGTTTCGGTCGACTCTCCTGCCAAAGAAGTGAGTGTCACGGTGACGGTGAAGGAGACTGATGCTGGTGAAGAGCGGTTGGAATCCATGGCGGGTTCAAGTGGAGATAGATTGGCCGTGAAGGCCGGTGGAAAGAATTCGAAGAAAGTTGACAAGTCTGAGGGATATGGCAAAGCATTGCAGTCCGTCCATGAGGTTGCAAAGAATTTGGACCATGAGCTGTCAGCTGCTCGAGATCATCATGATGATGGAAAGGAGTTGGATGGTTGGGAAGAGGTGATGGGTGAAGAGTCGGGATCATCAGATCCGCACTCTCCTCCTGTGGTTGAGCCGCCATCCAGTGCATCCTATGCCACTAGCTCTCCGAGTCCGGCCCGTGAAGGATTTGGTGTCGGCGAGATTTTTGTGATGACTCGAAAGACTGGCCAGCGATTGCACCGAGCTTCGTGTTCCTTGCTGAAGCACCATAAGGACACACAACTGGTCAAGCGAGGCCTTTGTGACACCTGTCTTCGAGAAGGGATTCGGGGCCATGACCACCTCATGGCATTTTCGTTCGAGCGCAATAGCTGCTTCCACTCCTATGATAGCTTGCGCTTGTCAGCAATCATGTGAATCGAAAGCTGCGCCTTTGTAAGCAGTGCTGCTACATCCCATAGACTGATATGATGTTCCCTGAAGTTGAATGAAAACAACCTGGACGGATTGATACAATCTCATTGGAATAGATGAACACCTTTCGTTAGGAGATGTAAACATGCCTTTTTTTGTTCGTGCGGGGGTGTGAAATACAGTCACCATCGTTGACCATTTCGTTCGACCACAACATGTCATGCACACAATCGGAAGGGAACATCGTTCGAGTCGATTGCATGTGTGCTGCACCCATCCAGGGTGTTTTTGGCCGGTTTTTGGAGGGATGACACGCACAAATCCGAAGTGTTGCATCCCAGCTTCCTCGAGAGCACAAATCGAGAAAATGTACCAAGTTCGTCGAAGCCGAACCTTGCCATGACGAACTCAGCAATCGCCAGAGCCGTGATTTGCTCGGGGTGCTGTCAGCGTTAGCTGAGGGCGTCCTTTAGCTTACAGTGCACGTTCGTAATGACCCATTGGGCGCTACCAACCTTAGTTGGGGGCCTCAAATCCGTTCGTCATTGGCTCAAGGCTCAAGTCCGTGCAAGAAAAACACGCGCGGGCGCCGGGGCGGTGGGCGAATCGGACAATCGCGTCCGAGGGTTCGCGATAGGTTTGAGGTCTCATTTTAGTTTTGTTCGAGGTTCACGTTCGTTTTGGGGAACAGTTCACGAGAGTTTTAACTTTCATAGGTGGTGGTGGTGGTGGTGGTGGTGGTGGTGGTGGTGGTTCGTCGGGGTCAACTGGGGTCAACGGGGTCAACGGGGTCCTGAGATTTAGCATAGCCCCCTGTGCGGTCGCAATGATATTATGGATTGGCCATCCGAACATACCCTCCTTGATGCACTAACCAGCTGCTTCCAGAGGTGGTCTGGCTGTTTAGCTGCATGAGATCTTGGGCTGCTCGAATGTGTGGGTGTGCGAACACTTTGTCTGGAATGGGAAAGAGGCTCCTGTCGTAATGCTCCATTGATCCAAAAGAGAGATGAAGCCGCTTTTTTCTTATTCTAGCACTTCTCAGCATTGTTTGGTGTATCTCCAACACTTTGTGGAAAGGCTTTGGCGGATATATTGAAGCTATGGCTGCCTATGTCTTGCACCCCTGTGTACAGGCATGGATGGCAGTGTGGATTGATCATTGGATGTGCTTTGTGGATCGCATTGCACCTATGAGCAACGCTACGCAGGCCACGGCCAAAAATCTCAGGCAAACCTCTAAGCCTCCATGTGGATCATCCATCGCGCTTGAAGTCCCATTCGTGAATTTTGCCCGCTCCTACTTAATTAAGTAGGCGGATACTTAATTGAGTAAGGGCACTAATGATTTGGTTCCTAGATTTTTTAGGGAAACTTAAATTGTGTTTCAACAAACGTCATCATTCTAGCAGCAACCAGCCACTGCCTTTCTCCCCGCAAGCATGGTGGCCCCAGCAGATTGGAGCTCTCAAACCACAATTCCACTGCGAGCAGCAGTGAACAGCACCAAAGTGTCCATTCATCCTACTCCTATCTGTCAGAAAGAAAGCATGCAACACAAGCTTCCACGCTTCAATGCTTCACCTTTCGGAGAGGTGCGTCCTGCGTTCAGTTCCAATTGCAAACATGACAGCTGCGCCCTGCGTCCAAGACTTCAAGCTGCGGAGATCTCTTTGCGATCTTCTCAATACCCTTGTCTCCAATATTTGTACTCGACCTTTGCAGAACAATTGTGAGACTGAACCAAAACAAGTCCCGTCCAATTCCTCAGCCACTCACACTCGCAGTTCCCGGAGCAAAGAGCGAGGATGCGCCTTGTGGAAAGGGAAAGAAACACATATATATATATATATAGCAAGAATCCAAGCAAGACTGCCTGTCAAAGTGCCACACATGTACATCTTGCTCATGTCGTGATGATTCGGATGCTGAACATCTTGGCTTCCGGCTTCAAAAGGAGCGTCAGTCAGCTGTGAGCAAAAGGATAGATCCAGGGCTTGCAGTCCAAATTGGAAGAGAAGTTCACAAGCTACCTGTTGCAAATCAATGCAAAGCAGCGTATTCAATGTGGATCAAACTGTCATTGCAACCGCCTTCTCTAACAATTCATGAGACTTCACCAACTTGGGTTCTCACCCGCTAAAGGTTGACGGAAGTGCAATAACTGCGTATTCTGACCCACAGGGTAAGTGGAAGGTCACAGGCCTCGTCCGTCACGGTGCCATGGCAATAAGCCAGTCCCAGAGTCCTGATCTTTTTGCACTGCTCATGCGTGACCATCATTGAGTGACGATGACCGAACTAGGCAACACCCCTGCAAGTACCAGTCTATCCAATCAAGCTCTACAGAGAACGAGCACGTTTGCTTTCTTGGTTCGGCAGCTAGTTCAAATGCAAAATACTTTCTTCCCAGGATCAATCGTGAGCCGAGCAACAAACCGTCCTGAATCTAGCAAGATCCGGACATCATTGGATCGCAATCCAACAGAGATGCTGAGAATAGAATGCCTCTGCTTAGGACCAATGCATTCTGGATTGTCTGGTGAACCAGGAAAGCAAGGGTCCGGTCCAATCATATCTACGCAGCCAATGAGCAACCTCAAAAGTAAAACCGACAGCCATTCTCCTCAAGTAAGGAGCTCCTTTCAGGACATATCCCATCAAGCCCTGGCATCGACACGGGTCGGCGCAATATTCTTCACAGTCGGTGCCTTTGGTGGAGGTCCGATCCTTGCCAGTCACAAACTAGTAGCGATGCCCTTGTTCCTAGTAGCGCCCTTGCTCCTAGTAGTATGGCCAGGAGCCCCTATGAGTATGCAGTCTGGTGGACAAGAAGCTCAAATCGGCATCTTCGTGAATGTCCTAATGAAAAATACTCGTCGTTTGATGTTGGAATCAATTGAAAAACTAGTGTTTCTGCTTTCCGCGCGTTTGATTCCACACGCTTGTCCAGCAACCTTTATATAACTGTAGCCTTTCTTTTCCTCACCCTGCGTGTCAGACCTCCTTCCCATAAGCAGCCCAGTCTGCCTCTGCTGTAATTTGGCCGCACTTCCCAACCGAAAGCTCCCGAAGCCCCAATAAACCTGCCAGTGGTGGCTTCCACCTTAAAGAATCACACAGCATCCATCGCACAACTGAATATGGCCAGGACGTGCATAAAGAAATGGGCTATTCACAGTGAGTCCATCAGCTTCTATGTCTGTTTTCATGCTAGTTGAGGGAGTGTGCCAGACTAGCTCTAAGGCCCCTGCAAAGCTGGTGCGAACGCACTGTCGGAGATTCGCGGGCACCCGTCCAGCCGTAAGACTTCAAGTCGCTCACAGTGCTGTAGGACCTGCCAGAAACACCCAAGTCATGTAGGAAGCTTGGAGGCTTCAATGCCACAAGCCCACCGACACAGCGATCGTCGTGATGTCAAAGATGGTTGAGACGAGTTGACCCCCTATTTAGAGAAGGAGCACTGAGCTGAGCACTGTTATTATATAATTGTCTGCTATTCAACAAAATCAGAAAAATGTGATTTTTCATGAAGAAATCGGACCTGAGCGTCGGACATCCCGCACAATTTTGTTGTCAACTTGTTGACACGTTCTCACATCGAGGACACACAAATTCGGGCACGATCGCCCGATGGTGCTCAGCACCTCGGCAACGCCAGAGGTCAATCACTCACCACCCGCTGGGCCCATCTGAGCCCTAGAAATCCAGGAAAATCAAAAGAATGAAAAAGAATTAAAGAAATGATTAACAAATAAATGAATGAATAAATACAGTAAATAAGTAATAGTAGACTGACGAAAAGGTACGATTTTTGTCTGAGAATGAAAAACATATAATTACAGTAAAACAACACACAGTGCATGAAAACCTAGTGCTTGGGTCGCAACACATCTCCGGAGTTGAGAAGCACCTTCAAGACCCAATTTGTGAGTCTCTGTCGTCAAAGCATACGGCAGGACCTGTGCGGTTCATGGCAAAACAGCACAAGCCTTCAAGAGAATTCATAGCTCTGCGCACGTTGTCGTTCAGGGCGTTCTTTGCAACAAGAATATACAGCAGCTCCTTCAATTCTCTGAATATGGTCATTGCGATTGGTTCCTGTTGAAGGATTGACTTCTTGTCTTGGGCAAAGCTTGTGTGGGGGGAGTTTCCCTGGACATGACCTTGCGTTGTCCTCCAAGGCTTTTCTCGGTAGTGCTGATAAAGTCGCGTAGCGAACCTCAGCTGGTGCTGCCCAGGAAAGGGACTTGCCAACTTTGCCACCTTGGCATGAAACCCTCTTGGGGCCATATTTGATCAGGTTCTGCGCAAGCTTCTGGACCTTGCAAACACTTGCTAGAAATCACTGCACGGTACCTACAATCCGGCAACGATGGACAGTCACTGGACGGCACCACCACGCAAACCATAAGGCAAGTGCACAGAGGTGCAGAAGGGAAAGAGGCTCATGCGGTTTCGCACTTTGCATAGAGTGGTCAACCTGAGCTGACAAGAGTCTGACCTTTGAACATCACAGGGTTGAGCTGAGAGAAAGTCGCTAGATATTTTTGTGGTTCAGCTTGCCGCCCGCGATCCACCGGCAACCTGAAACGACACAACAAAGCTGCTGGCAAACTATACTAAGCCCTAGGCACTGACAAATACAGGTGCCTTGTTTCCCAAGGCATTGCAAACCGCCTACAGCACGGTCATGGCACGAAAACCGGCCTCAACGCGTACAAGCCAATTGGCAACAGGCCAAACACTCCTTGCGCAACTGGTCTCGAGTCTAGATACAATAGGTCTTGAAAAGCCTGGGCAAACGGGTTGTGCTGTGCTGGTTGGTACAACAACTCATGGTTTGTCATCTCTGGGTCATGTTTTCCGCTTCTTGAGCCAAGGGCCGAAAAGCACAAATCAAGTCGTGACCCCCAAGGACCGATCATCCTAACTCCTGAGTGGATCCTGATCCGTGTTTCATCTGGATTCGTAAAGCCTTCTCCCCTAACTCCTGGGTGGATTCGCGGGCGACTTGATGATGGAAGATGACGCCTTGTAATGTTTGCTTGCTTGCTTGCTTGCTTGCTTGCTTGTTTGTTTGTTTGTGTTTGCATCGCTGCCCTAAAGGTTCCAAGACCCAAGCTGACTACACGGTTTGTGCCTTAGCGGCAAGTTTTTTGAGCAAATCATCCTCACAGCCCTTCCATGAAGAAATCAAGTATATACATGGGCATGGGCAAGGAGGGTGCAAGGAAAGCCAGCCACAGTGGCCTTGAAAGTGGAGAGAGCCCGGCCAACGTTGTGTGAGGCATGCAACTGGGAAAACTCTAAGTCACCCTTGTGCTTTTTGAGTTAAGGGCTACAGTATACAGTTTAGCGCCATACTTTACATACCCTTTTCGCACCCGCCTTGAAGGCTCGCCCTGAGACATTTGTTTGACATTTTATGCGTATTGGGCTCTGGGGCTTCATTAAAGTTATACCTGTTCTGTACATGGATCGGAGTTCTTCTCTTCTCGGTTTACACTCTCCATATCCACTTTTCGAGTGGGTTTGCCTCGCAGTTGTGGTTCAAGGATGCATAGACTTTCTCTCGCTGCTTGCTGGTCTCTTGTCTACATGCTGTGGGCTTGCAAGACTCTTCTGGCTTGATGCTGACTGCCATGATTGTTGGCCAAAAAGGAGACTTCTACGCACCAGAATGACCAACGCAGCGGCTGTGAGAACACTCGATTGACAACCTATGTCTAGGCAAATTCATGAAACTCATGGAGCGTGTTGACGTCCCAAAACCGATCAGGGTCTTGAGCGATCCAATAGCAAGCAATCTCTGTCCAAGCACAGGTGGCCACGTCAAGAAGGTCGTTCAACCAACACGGGTCACAAGAAAAAAGCAACCAAAAAAGCAGGCCACCCGAAGCGATCCTTGTCTGTTGCATCCTTGGCAGGGTCGGATGCGCCGAGTCCCAAGTGTGTTTCGTGGGTAACGCCTGCGCCTTGCCGCAACTTGTATGTCCGTTCACTAAGAAGCTCAAGTGGCTGAATTTTGCACGTTGATGGTTTTTCAGCGGGCTCCTCCTTGGGTTGTTATAGTGCAATGACCGACCTTTTTCCGGTTTCGGTTTCTCTGAGAGACAGCAGAGCCGATGCGGGCAGTGACTGGTGATGTGGTCTTAGTCCTCCAGTGATGAAGAGAGGCTGGGGTCCCACAGAAGTTTTTTGAAGTGTATCACTACCAGTGCGCAATGCTTGGGTAGAGCGTGGCAAAATTGAGAGAATAAGTGCTGCCAAGCGGAAAAAAGCTGGCGCCCAACCCGTCTTTGTTGGAAGGCTGCTGCTACAGGAGGCAGTGTCCCCGCACAGCCGTGTCCTTCTGCAATTTTGTTTGGCAAAGGCGACGTAGCAACAGTGTAGCTGCCCTCTTCGCTGTGAGCCCTGACAGGAGGTAGCTGGTTTTCTGCCTCTTCAACTTTTTGAGCTGTAGCGAAGTCACTTGCGCCTACCCTCCAATATTTTGAGTGGAGGAGTACTGTATATAGGTTCCGTTAAAGAATTGGAAGTGTAGCAAAGGAGTAGCTGTGAGTAGTTGCTGCCTTTTGCAGTGATTGAGTAAACTCGAGGTTATGAATGGTTTTTTCCTTTGCAGAAGTTATCGATTACAAACATGTCGCTTCAAAATCTTTAGCAATAGCATAGTGCACTCTGCAGACTGCTGCCTTTTATACATCCTGGAGACCCAAATGGGCGTTTCCTTTTGTCAACCGGTTTTGCCCCACGCCTGCCAAGCAGTCGAACAAAAGTCACAAATATATTTAACGCACAAATTTCAAAACTCAAAATTTGATAAGCCCCCCTCTGAAAAAGGCACTGCATGTGCACTGTCTCTGTCAAGGGGGGGATGCACTGCCCCTGTTGAGCGACCACAGGCATAATTGCACATGACTGTTGGGCTGAAACCGGGAACTTGCACTCTCTCTCTCAGACACCCTCCAAAAGTGCTTCTCAACAACCCTCCGCACATCCCCCCCTTGAGATGCAGTGTCTCTCTCAAGGGGCCTCCTAAGTGAAGCCAAATCTAATTATAAAAGCAAAAGGGAAGACCTTTTCACTGAGCTGCGCGCGCGCGCGCCCAGGGGTGTATCGCGCGCGCTCAGGGGTGTATCGCGTGCGCCTTGCCTGATGTCAACAATGGGAGGATGCAATGTGCGTGTGCCAAAACCAGCGCGCACGATACACAGATGGACGCGCACGATCGCACGGAATCAAGCGCGCACGATGCACAGGTGGACGCACACGATCGCACAGAATCAAGCGCGCGCGATACACAGGTAGACGCACACGATCGCACAGAATCAAGCGCGCACGATACACAGGTGGACGTGCACTATCGCACAGAATCAACCGCGCACGATGCAACACAAAATGCTGAAGACATGTTAAACCAGTCACCTCCTGGCAGGGCTCACAGCGAATAGGGCAGCTACACTGTTGTTACGTCACCTTTGCCAAAAAAACTTCCAAAAAGACACTAAAATTGCACTCAAACATTCGCAGAAAAATAGTTCCTAAAACCCGAAGCATGGCAGAAAAGAACCGGCAGATGTTCTAGGAAAATCGTCCCTCCTAAAACGCGACGCCTGGCAAACACAAACGGGCAGGCTTTCTAGAAAAATAGCGCCTCCTAAAACTCGAAGCCTGGCAGAAAATGGCCGGCAGGCTTTCTAGGAAAAATGCCAGCGCCAGCAATAGTAACACATAATAATTAGCCAACAAAAACATCCAATGAAAAACATGATTGAAAAAAACAAACCACCAAACATATCATGAAAGATATTTTTTGTTTACAAAAATTTCCAACAACAAAACACCTCCAGGCTAACTTATTTGTAAGTTCCGGCTTAGTTCGTTTTAGCCAAAACTTAAGCCTCTTATAAATTCATGGAAAACGCATCACAAGTTGCAAGCAGTTTCTAAAGCGACAAAAAATTCTAAATGTTGTTGTTGCTGCTGCTGGTCTTGTTCTATAGCGCTTGTACAGCACCATCTCTATTGGCCTAACAGCGCTTGCGCAGCACCTCCTGTTGCTGCTCATGGCGCTTGCGCAGCACCTCCCGTAGTTGTCCATGACGCGTCTGCAACACAATTTTAGAAAGCACCTGCGCAGCACCTAAAGATATGTCAAAATAAACATTCAAAACTCACACCTTGGGAAATCATGTACACAGTTTTGGTTCTTAAACCAAACCAAACACCACATGCACCTCTGGCATAACTTACCAAACTTCAAAACCGATCATGTTTGCAAAGCCCAAAACCCAAAGCACAAAAGCACATTACAAAGCACAGCCCAGGAAGGGTCAAACTGCTTGCACAATCGCCTCCAAGCTTCTAAGCCTTTACTCTTGCCTGCGCTTCTGACGAGCATGAATTCCTCTTTTTAGAGAGGGTTTGGAGGACAGCGTAAAGTTGTGCATCTTTTGATTCCAGGTCTGGTATTGTCTCCTGTGCCGGAGTAGTCTCACCAAACTCGGCATTCATGGATGCGCTGATTGGACCCGTTTCAACAAAGGCTTCCAACCGGATCTTCCATTGGAGGAAATCCGAACTGCCATCAAAGTTGCTTGGCTTTGCCAAACCGCGGTCGTCTACCAGAGTCAACTTCTTATCTGGCTTCTTGGACGCTTCCAGGATGGCCTTCTGCGCGTTGACCATCTCCTGCAAAGCTGCCTGCATAGCCCCTGTACTCTGGGCCGCCTGAAGCCTATTGTTCAAGTCCTCCTCTCCCCTTCGACTCTCATTCAACTCCTGCCTCAAGGTCACAACCTGGGCTGCGACCTGCTCGAGGGTGGCCATCACTGGTCAGCTGCTCCCGGTCGAGTCAACCGAGAATTCAACAGCCGTTGCCTCAGTGCCTGACTCTGGATCAGGTCTTGAAGATGATGTCCCAGGTGTCCGAAGATGCATTGAAGCCTCCGGATCCTGAACAGCCGGTTAATCAACCGGCGCCACAACCTCAGTACCCTCGATGCAATGCGATCCCTTCGTTGGCAGATACGAGTCCGAAGGGTGTCCCAAAGGGTGAACATCTACCGGAGTCGCACCGAGCGCTCCGCTACCATGAACAGAAAGTAGCAACGCTCCTATTTATCATGAGCCAAAAGTAGTCCATATACCGCTCGTGTTTATGAGGGTCTGTGTCCCAAATCAGTCATCCACAGGATGTCATAAATTCATATGTCATTGGTGTCTTTTCTGACGCTAAAATAGCAGTATGGCAACAGCACGGCCTTTTGCTCCTTCACATCTCTGCATCATCCTTCATCTCCCCGGGTTGAATCCAAACTTGGCTGTCCTCCCAAATTGCAAGTCCAAAGCATGTACTCTAACTGTACCATGTACCGCACATAAATTGCTCAATTGGCCCCCATCCTTCATGTTGAGAACAAGTCTGTCGACCTTGTCAGAAGTTTGAAACGGTTGCTTACAACAGGATGAAAATACGATTGGCCTGGAACAGCAAGTCTTGACCTCAAAAACCATGCCAAAGATTGAAAAATGCAAAAAGCTTAGCACCGCCAACAATTACGTTGACTGTCTGGCCGACAACTTTGCATGTCCCCAGTGCAACTGGAGCACAGAATTGACAAACTCAGCACATCTAACGAAACCGGCTAAGGCCAATGGCCGATGATTGCTGCAGCTCCTGTGAAAGGTCCAATCGTCGAATCAGCAAGAACCTGGAGTCATTGGACTCAGAGCTCTTGAGCACAAGACTCTTTGCTCCATAAGTGTGTTG